CTTTTTCTAGTTCTAAGAATTAGAAAAAGATGAAGAATAAGTTGAACCAAAATTAAATTAATCTACGTTGGTGGAACCGAGCATAAGTTATAATTATGAACTATAGTCACTAAATCGGATCATGTAATGATGTATATGATCATATAGGGATGTATGTATATGTATATAGTGTCTATATTAACATAGGTATTCATAGTCTGTTTTTATATTTAAGATTGTCTTAAGTATTGTCTTAAAATTTTATGAACCAATTAAAAAACCATATTAGTATCTTAAGACGACGATGACGATGATTTAAGACGATCTTAAATATAAGAAATGACTATGAATACCGGCCATAGTCAATGTTTAATCAAACACTTGTAGAAATCAATTAATTAATTGAAACATAACTTACTTGTCATTTATATCATAAATTAGAAGCGACGATAATTGTTGAGGATCATTTCTATAGATATTAACAGCAAATTTTGTTCCAGTTGGATCAAATAACATTGACGTCACTTTACATACGTTATCATAAAATATTTGGTTTTTTTCCTCTTCATACGAATTTTCATGTGTATATTTCTGTATCTGAATAAAATCAGACTTTTTACTTGCTATATTAACATAACATTATTGCAAATTTTTTAAATCTCACCTTTATTGAATTTAAAGAACCTGACATAATATGTTGCGATGTTGCATCTATGTGTCTAATGTCATCGTGTACTTTGCAATGTGTTATTAAGTGTTTAATATCATTTATTTTACCTAGTTTTCCAGTCTTCCAGTTCCTTTTAATTTTCCAGTGCTTGATATTACCATTTCTGTAAGAATTTTTTTCGGAAATAAAAAAAAAGGAATAAATATAAAACAAAATCATAAATATGAATACTCACGTGTGGCCACTTATAATTTCATCATTGCAATAAGCAAAATCTCCAAATGGAGATTTGCTAAGTACAGCACCCATTTTACCCGTTTTAATGGTACCGTCATTTGCGCGGTTATAAGCAACAAAACTATGCTGTTTACAAATCAAAACTGCATTTTTAGTCATTTGTAGATGTTTTGTATTTCTTTCTACAAAGTTTTTTGGATTGAATTTATTTGAACCTATTTGATTTATTTTACACGATCTTTTTTTCCATTTGTAATACGTAATAAATTGAGAAATACAAGATAATTGTGGTTTACATCTATGAAAGAAAATAAGATGTATGTTTCTTAAGATAATGTTATATAAAATTGTAAATATTTTATTCTGAAAATATTCTGCAAATATTAAATGCATTTTAAAAAGACATTGTTAAAAAATTAAATCAAGTTTTGCAACTTCAACAACTTGAACAATTAAAAACATGACAAAATGCTATGATTTAATGTTAAAATGTATAAAAAACTCTAATAAAAAGATATTGTACTTTATTTGAAAAAAAAGATTTTGTTATTGCAGAACACTTTTTTATTAATATTTTAATTATATATTAATAATATTTATATATATTAATTTGTGATAAAATACAGAGGAATTTCAACAAAGTGTTTAGGGATATCAGTAAATTTCAAATCAGTCAATCAATCTCTATGTGCGCGCCTCTTTTGTTGCACGACAGACGTCCAGGCGGTATTCAATTTCTCGCGAGGTGTTTTCTAACACATCTGCGATTGAGATTTACTGATATCCCTAAAAACTTGTTGAGTTCCACTTGTTGAGTTACCACAAACAGCATTTTAATAAATGTATTATGAAATGACAGGCTTTTATTATTGATAGTTTTTGTCCCGGACACCCTGTATATATAATTATAGAATATATAGAATAATATTTTATATACAGGGTGATTCAAAACAACCTGATGTCCTTGCAATGCTCTATTCTTGAGCGAATTCTAAGACGATTTTTCTTTCGCAAAATTTTGTCCGAAGTTTAGTTTTCGAGTTATAATTGAAAATAATTGGCTACTTATGAGTCCGATACAACGGATAGTCAGAGATGGCGCAACGCGTTGTGAGACTAATAACTCTCCTAAACAGTCAATATTATTGTACAATGTTTGATATTGCACAATATTATTGAACGTTTGAAGTTTGTATTATTAGTGCATTGTCTATACAATATTGTACAATTATTATTCACCGTCTAGGGGGGCTATAACGTAACGCTTGAAAGTGAGATATTCGATAACGCGAGTTTTACATAACTGACAAATAAACTAAAAATATAAAGCCGAAGTAGTGCTTATGGTGTGATTAAATATTAGTCTCATAACGCGTTGCGCTGTTTCTGCTTGCCCGTATCGGGCTCGTAAGTGGCTAACTATTTTCAATTACAGCTCGATAACCAATCTTTGGAAAACATTTTGCAAAACGAAAAATCGTCTTAGAATGCGACCAAGTATATGGCATTGTAAGAATATCAGGTTGTTTTGAATCACCCTGTATATACATATATACATAGAAAATTATATTATATCGTTGAGCTCTGTAACATACTGGAGAGAGCCTTCCCATAAGCGCCAATGTGTAGTTTTCGGGCCATGGAGAGCAATAACAGCCGGGGGTGTCTGTTCTCCTTCCACGTTCACACCATGTATTGGTGGGGATGAGACAGATACCCTCGGCAATATTAAACTCTCTTTCCACAGTGGTCCATCCCCACTTTTTCAAGACTTACTCCAGTATGTTAGAGAGTTCAATGTATTATATATATTCTAGAATTTTCTTTTTAACATGTTTTAACACCTACCAAATCGATTTTTGATAAATTTCTGTTCTGCATCGATCAGGTAATTTTTCCTTTGTAGCGTAAACGTGAAAAGTGAAAACTTTCACGTTTCCTAACGATCACATATCCTGACCACGTGGATTATACGAGCTCCACGTGTTGAGATACTTGATTATTTTTCGTAAACAAAAAATCGGTTTAGCAGGAAACGCGTTAAAAAGAAAATTGTAGAATAATTTGAAATACAAATAAACACTAATTGTAAGCTTTATTTAACTTACCGTTCACGAAATTTTTCCGACATCTGATTTGTAACAAGCAAATGTTCAGTTTTTTTATGTAATATCATATATGATATTTCATAAAATTTTTTGCATACCATACTAATCTCTGATAAAGTATACACATCGCAGAAATTGAAAATTTTTATTAGTAGCTCATTCGGGAGAATGTAGAAAAAAGACATATTTGTTTTTCTAATGATCGTCACCACGTGAGAATATGGATAGTCACCGATGTTTATCCCACTGAACACAATACTATACTAGAACTTAGGGTCGAAGTTAGAGAATTGTTAGAACCAGTAATGCAACTCGAACTGGTCAACGCCGGAAACACCGTAGTGGAGGGGGCATGCACGTAACCGAGAACGCGTGTATGTGGTTGCGTAGAACACTTGGCGCAGTTTTTCAAAGATATTGACAGCAAGAAATAAAATCAATAACGATTATAACAATAGTTTAATGAAATTTTTACAATTATGGTTATATAGAACGTATTGTTAACTTTAAAGTGATTCAAGTGTGACAGTCTTGGTTAAAACTAATGCTTTTATAAGGGGATATGGGTTAAGAAATTTTCATTTGTATACACGAAACTTTTAGCTATGATTGTCCGAAATATTGCAGTTTAATATGTGTATTAAATTGTACACTATGCATTGTCGTAAATGTAACAACATTGTGTCGATTTATTTATGAATTTATAACCTGTAAGGTAAAGCACTCAGTTCATACATTCTAGCATTAGAAAAATGTAAATACATAAATATTTGCTGATAATGTATTGGCATCATATTCATATCTTTATAATAAAATAGTAACAGTGTTAAGGATAA